GTACTCGAAAGAGTTCCCCCGATTCCACAACGAACGAAACGATGCCGTTCGCTTTCATTTTTTTTTTTTTTTTTCAAAGAAGAAGAAGAAATCAGAGGAAAGAGACAGAAGGGAGGGGAGGAGGAGGCAGGAAGGAGGGACTGGAGGGGGGCCAACAAATTGGGTGGAGGCGGTGAGGGACGGGGGGCCTGCGAGTACGAGGCTGGCGAGGTGGTCGGCGCGCGGGTCGGTTGCGGCCATGGAACATCCAAATCGCCATCCGTCCGCCCGATTGGCGGATTGAAGAAAATCCCTCCGAATACGCCGCCAATTCGGCGGATGTGGATTGAAGCGGTTGGCGGTTTGGGGGATGGAATGCGAATCGGTTGCGGTTTAAAATTGAATAAATTTCAACATAGATTCCCAACTTGGAACTTCTCAAACAAAAAAAAAAAAAAGAAAAAGAAAAAGAAAGTATTACAGTACAATGACTTAAAAAAGTATTACAATCACTGTATGCTTATCCAAGAAAAAAAGTTTGAAACTTTAGAATATCACGATACAGTGCATCCTCATTCCTATATAATCACAAGCATAATCATCCCATCAAAGTATTACAATCTTGATTTCTTAAATATAATAAATTCAAACACACCAAAACGATGAACAGTATAGTAGGATGAATGTTCTGTAATTGTTGCATCTACATATGTTTTGAAAAACAAAAACCAACGCAGCATATAATATATTTCTCTATTTATTATTTTTAGAGTTACATTAAAAACTTGAAAAAATATATGAATAATCAGTTTATTTTTTCAATCAAAAAATATATTTCTAGTTGAAAAACTTTTTTCAACAGAATATTTAAACCTTTTCATTCGAAAATACAAAATAATATTTTAAACAAACTTGAAAATACAAGATCTTATAATTACTAGGGGTGTCGCGATTTGCGGTTTGGCGTTGGTGCGGCCAAAAAATTCAAATCAGCCATCCCCGTAACCGCCAAATTGGCGATTGAGAAAATAAATCCGCACCGCCTCGTCATCATCGCATCCGTCCAAAATGCGGCGGATGTTCGGGTTCGGTTCGTTTTGGGGTCGGTATAACCGCGCTCACCCTCGTGCGACGACGATACGGCGGAGGCGGGGCTGGACGAAGGGCAAGGCGAGCGACGGCGCGACGCGGGCGGAGGGGGCTGCGACGACGACCTGCCTCCTCTCTCTCTCCTCTCTCTCTTCTCCGCTCTCCTTCTCCTCCTTCTGTTTCAGACCTTGCAAGGACGAGAAGAAGAAGAAAAAAGGAAAAGTGGTCCAAGACGACATGTTTTGGCAGCTCGGGGGTTAGAGGGGGGAATTCGAGCTACAAACATATATATTTTAATTTTTCTGAATACACACAAAACTTAGACAATTAATGATAAATCAAAGTGGAGCGTGTGTATATTGTATCTATATATATGAATTCTGTTTTTTGCTCATTCTTTTTAAATGACTGAACAAAGCAAGAGTTCAAAAGAAATACAATAAAGAATAAGAATACCATATCCCGTTTTAAAAGATGAAGTCAAATAGTCGTTTGGTAACGTGTTAACGTTTTTAGTTTATTTGACAAAAATTTTTATAAACTGATTTTTGTTTATTTTTAGAAAAAATAACTACAAACGAGTTTGTAATTACAAAAATGTTTACAAAATAAAAATATAAAAAAGAGTGAGAAATGACTAGTGGTGACAACTGGCTGAAGAAGATGTGCGGTGAAGTGGTGACTGTGGGCTGGTGGTGGGGTTGGGTTGGGTGACGGTGGCGTGGTTGGTGGTAGCAAGTGGGTGGTGGTGGTGTGGTGGTAGTGGTGGGTGGGTGGTGAATGGTGGCGAGTGTAGCAGTTGATGCGGTGTGGTTGTGTGGGAGGGTGGTGGCAGGTGGGGAGTGGAGAGGGGCGGGTGGTGGGCTGGTTATTCTAGTTGGTGGTCGGTGTGGGGTTGGTGTGGTAGGTGGGTGGAGGACTGTCGGTGGTGGCGGGTGGCGATGGTGGGTGGGTGGGTGATGGTGGCGGGTGTAGCGAGTGGGTGTGGTTGGTGTATGGTGGCGTGGTGGAATGTGGTTGCAAGGTGGGTGCAGGTGGCGGGTGTGCGGTAAGTGGCGGTGGTAGCGAATGGGTGGTGGTGGTGGGGGTGCAGGACAAGTGGGTGACGGGTTGGGGTGCGTGGCGGGTGGCAGGTGCTGGTGGCTGATGGTGGTGGTTGGCTGGTGGTGGGTGGTGGATATGGTGAAGTAGGTGGTGGTGAGTGGTGGTGGGGGGTAGTGGCGGTGCTGGTGACAGGCGGTGGATGGTATAGGGCGGATGGTGGTGGTAGCGGGTTGGATGGCTAAAGGAGTGGTGGTAGGTGGTGGAGGTGGTGGGGTGTGGGGGGTGGGTGGTGTGGCGAGTCGAGTGGGGTGCAAGTGGTTGGGTGGTGGTCGGTTGGAGTGATGGGTGGCAGTGGTGTGGTGAAAGTGGTGAGTGGTCGGATAGAACGGATGGAAATGTAACGGATGGTGGCTAGTGTTTTGGTTGAGTGGTAAAAAAAAAAAAATTGAAAATCAATGGAAAAAATTTTGGTTTACATTTTGCAAATTTATAACTGAGCATAATTGTAATAAATAATGAATTAAACAGTTTTATTATTTTAAATTTTTGTATATGAAATAGAAATAAAATATTGACAAATGCATTATAATTTGGAACTATAAGGTGGAAGATTTTTTCATGAAGGTCCTATAAAACAGATTAAGATATGTACTTACATTTAATTTTGGCTAACATTCTACTTTGGGCAAATTAACACACACAACACCAGACACACACACACACACAAAAAAATGCTGAGCAAAAAATCTTGGAATTTTCACTTTTCAATTTAAATCTTAATATTTAGATTTTATTTTCAATTTGACAATCTTTCTTTTTGTAAGTAAATGTTAACCGATTTTTTTTTGTTGTTGATGTAGCATTACCGTAAAATAAAATAAAATAAATTGTTCCAATAATTATAATCACTTGTTTTATTTATTTATTATTTTATTTATCTTCAAAAAAATAAATAGCCTATTTTTAATATTATACATGTCATCTATTTTAAGATAATGTTTGGATTTTTTTTTATAAATTTTTTTAATGAATGATGGACTTAAAAAATGGATTTTTTACTAGCCGATCCCAATAATTGAATCTATTACTTATTAGGTCATAAGTTTCTATCTCATGCCACAGGAAATCCTATTATATTTTTTTTATCCTAATTTTGCCCTTGCTATTATACTGCCAAAGCCATTGATGAATTAGTAGTGTTGGTGAATATGAGAACTACCAGAGCTATTGATAAATTCGTTGGTGTTGGTGAACATGAGAATTGTCTCTGTGGCCCTTGGATTTGAGAGAGATGGTGTTAGATTTGAGAGAGATCAAGAAAATCAACATGAATAGAGATGGGTGTGTCAACATTGACAAGTTCGAAGCTCTGCATTGTTTATACCAGTGATAAATTTATCACTGATAAATTTGTTTAAAAATTTACAAATAGCAAACTTTATTTGAGAGAGATAGGGACATCACAAAAAATTTATTACTGAATTAAGTAACAAATTTATCAGATCAATTACACGTCTATAGAAGATCAACAACACATTTCAATGCACTGATTGGACACTTTGCATCCCAAACCGCTAATGGAGGAAGATGGTGGCAACGAAGATGTCGAAGATGGTAGATTGGTGATGGAGGAAGATGGTGGCAACGACGACGTCAAAAATAGTAGATCGATGATGGAGGATTACGGTATTAAAGCTAGCAGATAAATGATGGGGGATGAGTAATGGTGATGGCAACGAAGGAGAAGGAGATGATGGTTGGTAATGGAGAAGGATGAGGAAATGGTGTGCCAGTGACAGAAATAGGGGAGAGAGAGAAATAGAGATAGGATGTGTTTGGATTTAGGGTAAAATCACTCAACTGAATGTAAGGGGTAAAAATGGAAGATGGACTAAATTATTTTAGGTTAGGACTTCTTAGGAATTAAGTCTGGTCCAAATAACCAACCTGTAACTCCCCTTAAAAAATCTCTAATTGGATTGGGCCAAAAGTTGATCTGTCCAGTCCACTTAGGCCACGTTTGTTTGACGGATTAGGTTAGATGTGATTGTTAGCGGGGGGATGGTTAATGAAGAGATTGTTAGTGAGGGGATTATTAGTAAGGGAATGGAGTAACAGTGTGTTTGTTTTGATGATAGTGTGAAAGATGATTAGTGAGGAGATAAAATAAGAAATTTACAAACACGTTATAAAGAAATAAATGCCTTGAACACTGTGTCATGGAATTGGTTTTTCAATCCCACCTGTATTGAAGCAAAAATGCTAGAAGCTCCAAAAATTCTACCAAAAGTTTTACCAAATGTCTCACATGGGTGTGGGACCCATATGGGACTCACATTGTGTGAGTCCCACACCCATGTGAGACATTTGGTAAAACTTTTGGTAGAATATTTGGGGTCTCTAGCATTACTCGTATTGAAGGCATCCCAATCCCATCACTTTGTAGGACTAACAATCCCCTTGGAGTGACAATCCTAGAGCTCATAAACCAAACAAACAAGATATATGTGGGGTCCACTTCAATCCCAAGCCAATCCCACCCATGAATCAGGATAACAAACATGACCTAGTGCATTAGAGATAAGCAAACTTTTGTTTAGATGGAAATCCTCCTAACCTAGAAAAATTGTTCCATAATTGACATTGAATGCGGTTGTGTGACGAAATTGAATTGATGCAGTATGCGATGCATAAATAAAATGAACATCGGCCCGTGATTGCTATTTATGAATAAATTTTATGGGTGAGTAATATAATTGTTTTTTGGGAAATTTATTGGAAAGTCTTATTTTGGATACTTGTATACCAGTTGGTTCTATGGTTGAAATGTTTGAATGGCAAGTCCTTATTAGGTGTAATTTATGACCAAGAAGTCCTTTTTAAAATATAAATGGGTATTGTTAGACGGATATACCCTCGCTAGTTATTTGGAAAGGTTGTTATATTTTTGGAATACGTGATCACACGATTTGGAGAGTTGGGATGGTATTCCTTTGATGAAGGGGTTGAAGGGGGGAATAGGGTTTTGGATGCTGTATCTGCTGAAGTGTATGTAGGGTTTTGCAGACGACGTGAACATAGTCGGCCTTGGTAAGGTATGTTACACTGTCACACTCCCTTACATTTCAGTGTATCATGTGCATGTACTGATTGTTCTGACATTCGTAACAGTCAACCTCAGACATTCTGTGCATTTCAATGGTGGATTATACTTGTTCTTCAACATTTTTTAACATTTGTTAGGTTGCGTATATTGTCAGTATTCAGAAACGTAGGGGGGGCAGAGATATCAATTGGTCAAACTGTCTATGTCACTATGCATTACTATCCACTCCTTCCCATACTAATTTGGCAATTGTGTCCCTTGCCGCCGTTGAACACAGGTATGTTCAAAATTTTGTATTACAAAGTCATTCCTCATCATTCCCACGCATTCATACCAGTGCACAAATCAATGTCGTTGTTATCACACCGACAGTGGAACGAGAATGGAGAAACATTGGTACCTATGTTTGATGCCAACAATGCAACAGTCCACTGATATGCTCAAAAAGAAAAACAGAGGGATCACACGCCTCGGATGTGGGGAACCTTTGATGGGCTTTTGACCATACTTTCTCCAGGAGTAATCATTTGGTGGTATGTCGGCCAACTTCACACTTATTGCCGGCACTCTCACCACTCTCTTCACCTTCAATTTCCTAATCACAAAAAAAAAAAAAAACACTCAATGAAATCCATAAAATACAATAATTATAACAACAATTAACTATTTGATGATGTGAATAATGAACTCTACCTTTTCTTAGAACGATGGCATCACCCTGAGGACGCACCGCACTTGGCGACCGCATCGTCCATCGAACTGCACTTCCTCTTGGACAGCGGCGGCCGACCAGCCGACGACGGGTTCGTAATCTGAAATGCTGATGACATCGAATGCTGTAGGCTGTTGGTGTCTCCCGTCAGAGACGACATGAACGAATTCGGCGGCAACGCCACCGCCACCGCCGCGAAATTAATCATCTTTGCTAACTCCTTTCGATCAATAGATCCGTTTTTCACTTGGTGATTGTGAGGACGATGAGGCAATCTCTGAATCGGCTTCGGACAGTAAACTCTAGGAACCAAACCTTGTTTTTCCTCCACTGACTCTGTTTCATGGGTCCTCTGTTGCTGTTGGTGAGGAGTCACAGGGCCTCTTCTAAAGCGATCGTGACCGGTTCGAGTTCGATCGAGAAATGAAATGAACTATAACATGAACCCACTCACTCTATCTATAATGTGGGTTTCGGAATTCGGGTTGTGAGAAATCCGAAACGAAAATCCGAAACCATTTTAGTGTGCCTTATTTCGCGTGTTCACGTCACGTACAAAACCACGTTCTACTTCTGTGAGTGTTACAAACCTATTAAATTAAAAAATGTATTAGTGTGTTTTTCCGATCAACGTGACACACAAACACCCATTCACCTTCCCTATACAAACCCACACCAATCAACCAATAATACTAGCAGTGGCAAAACAGTCAACAAACAAATTATGGGACCATCCAGTCACCAAGAAAACATTTAGGACCTTATGGATTACAAGTCCACAAAATGAGATTTAGTGGTCAATTCCCCTTGTTTTTTAGATTGACAAAAGACTTATAACCCACAACAAAATGTTTTGAATCCTCTTAATGTTATGAGTGAGCATGATTCAGATTGATTTGATTGGGATAAAATCAGGATCAATCCATTGTGTATG